ATTCCTCCCACTGACACCAACGATGGGGGGACACCAACGATGGGCCGCAATTCCTCCCACTGACACCAACGATGGGCCGCTATTCCTCCCACTGACACCAACGATGGGCCGCTATTCCTCCCACTGACACCAACGATGGGGCACTATTCCTCCCACTGACACCAACGATGGGGCACTATTCCTCCCACTGACTAATGATGGGGCACTATTCCTCACACACTGACACTAATGATGGGGCACCATCATTGGTGTCAGTGGGAGGAATAGTGTCCCATCATTAGTCAGTGGGAGGAATAGTGCCCCATCATTGGTATCAGTGGGAGGAATAGTGCCCCATCATTGGTGTCAGTGGATGAAATAGTGCCCCATCATTGGTGTCAGTGGGAGGAGTAGTGCCTCATCATTGGTGTCAGTGGGAGGAATAGCACCCCATCATTGGTGTCAGTGGGAGGAGTAGTGCCTCATCATTGGTGTCAGTGGGAGGAATAGCACCCCATCATTGGAATACCATACTGAAATACCATACCATATTGAAATCAAATCTGATGTTTTTTCATTTTTATTTGGTGTGTGTTGGAAGAGGGGTAGTCTTATACGGCGAGTATAGCTCAAACCCTATATTTTAACAGGAAAAGTAGGGGGTCGTCTTATACGCCGGAAAATACGGTAACTTTTAATTTTTTTTTTAAACGATATGTTTTTATAACAGAGCATGGAAAATGTGAGGTTTTTTTGTTTTTTAACTTTTGGGTCTTTTTTTTGTTGATATAATAATATAAAACAGCCAGTGGTGATCAAATACCACCAAAAGAAAGCTCTATTTGTGTACAAAAAAAAAGTCATACATTTCATTGAGGTACAGAGTTGCATGACCAATCAATTGCCAGTTAAAGTAGCTCAGTTCTGCATAGCAAAAAAAAATGCCCTGGTCATGAAAGGGGTAAAACCTTCTGGGGCTTAAGTGGTTAATATGCTTATATTTTGGCTTTCCCTGGTTGCTGCCTTCCCTCCTCACCAACACGCTAATGAAATTATTAAAACCTTTCTAATTACATAACATAGCTTATTTTAGATCCAGTGATCTCGTAACTGGGTCTATGTGCTTCTCTATGCAAAGCAGCAGGGTGCTGTGCATACTCTACCATCCTGAAAACATCACAGCACCCTGCCTCAATAGTCGCCTCAAGAGCCGTCAGCCCATATGCCAGCAGTGGCCTGTCTCTTGGGAGGAGTGATTTCAAATATCAAAATGTCTTAAAGCGGAGCTCCACCCAAAAGTTCCACTTTAAGGACTGCTTCCCCGCTCCCCATTAAGGATTGGCACCTTTGGGGGGCGGGGTGGAGCGGGAATTTGAAAGGTACCCGCTCCCACTTTCAGTACAGTAAAGGAGCCGGTACAACTGTGCAAGACTGAAGGGAAGGCCATAGTTCAGCTTTAAGGAGAAAAGTGAGCGCTTCCTCCTTGTGGACTGAGTGGTGCTTATGCAGGCCATAGACGGGTCGAAAACTGGCTGTTTTTTTAACAAAAAAACAAACAAACGGTCGTTCAATAGGCCGAAGTTACCACCAACGGTACAAAAAAATCGGCCACTTTTCGTCCCGTCTACGGCCGGCATTTAATTACTTCTGTCCCTGCAGAGAGCTCCGCTATTATATTTGACATTAAAAAGTATAGCGGTTGCGACATTGAATCTATTTGTATCCATTTCAGATACAGACGGTTTTATTCGGATACAAATAGATACATTGTTGCAACCGCAGTACTTTTTCATGTCAAATATAAATAACGGACTTGAATTCTTCTTCTTCTCCTCCTCCTCCTCCTCCCCCTCCTCCTCCTCCTCCCCCCTCCTCCTCCTCCCCCTCCTCCTCCTCCTCCCCCTCCTCCCCCTCTCCTCCTCCTCCTCCCTCCTCCCCCTCCTCTCCCTCCTCTCTCCTCCTCCCCCTCTCCCTCCTCTCTCCTCCACCCCCTCTCCCTCCTCTCTCCTCCTCCCCCTCTCCCTCCTCTCTCCTCCTCTCCTCCTCTCTCCTCCTCTCTCCTCCTCCTCCTCCCCCTCCTCTCTCCTCCTCCCCCTCCTCTCTCCTCCCTCCGTTCCCCCCTCCTCCTCCTCTCTCCTCCTCCTCTCTCCTCCTCCCTCCCCTCTCTCCTCCTCCTCTCTCCTCCTCCTCCCCCTCTCTCCTCCCCTCTCTCCTCCTCCTCCTCCTCCTCCTCCCTCCTCCTCCTCCTCTCTCCTCCTCCTCCCCATCTCTCCTCCTCCTCCCCCTCTCTCCTCCTCCTCCTCCCCCTCTCCTCCTCCTCCTCCTCCCCCTCTCTCCTCCTCCTCCTCCCCCTCCTCCCCCTCTCTCCTCCTCCTCCCTCCCCCTCCTCCCCCTCCTCCCCCTCCTCTCCTCCTCCTCCTCCCCCCCCTCTCCTCCTCCTCCTCCCCCTCCCCCTCCTCCCCCCCTCCCCCCTCCTCCTCCCTCCTCCTCCTCCTCCTCCTCCTCCTCCTCCTCCTCCTCCTCCTCCTCCTCCTCCCTCCTCCTCCCCCCCCTCCTCCCCCCCTCCCCCTCCTCCCCCTCCCTCCTCCCCCTCCCTCATCCCCCTCCCTCATCCCCCTCCCTCCTCCCCCTCTTCCCCCCCCTCTTCCCCCCCCTCCTCCCCCTCTTCCCCCCTCCTCCTCCCCCTCTTCCTCCCCCTCCTCCTCTTCCTCCCCCTCTTCCTCCCCTTCTTCTTCTTCCTCCCCTTCCTCTTCCTCCCCTTCCTCTTCCTTCCCTTCCTCTTCAAAAAAATGTGCCAAAATCCAGAAAAACGGCCGACCAATTAACCCATTAACGGTGCGAAAATCAGCCGATTTTTTTTTTTTTTTTCGGCCGAAAAATCAGCCGATTTTTGACCCATCTATGGCCTGCATTAGTCCAGGAATACATTGAGCCCAGACTGATGGCCTGTCCATGAGAGCCTGGACCCACAGGAAGCTATTTGGATGTATCAAGCTATCGTTTAACTTGAAGGACCAGCAGCAGCAGAATGGAGCCCTTCTGTGTGGGCTTTTCTTTTTGTATGACCATAGTAGTTTGTGTATAATTGTTGCAGAAACTGAAGTTTTGCTTTAAGGTTTCAAGTGAATTGTTTATGAAAATTCCAGAGCCTTCCTGCCATTCCGTGATTCATTATCTGTATGAATGAAGGAGGCATGTTGCTTTGCCCCTACATGTTGAATGTATTATTAGACATAATTGATTGATTGAGGCTGGCATGGATTGTAATGATAATGGGATGTAAATATGTGGGTTCTGTGTACAATGCCCGACCTCCTGGATGTGGCCCAGCCTTTGTCTTGAATCCCATCAATCATTCTCCGGAGCTATTGTGCACTTGCTCATCTTTAACCTCATGCAGTTTGAAAGACATCCTTTTATAATAAATACATTGGTACATATTTTAGATTAATATGCTTGTCACTGGACCCCATTCATATCATTCTATTGCATTTTATTAGTGTCATATTTTTCAGGCTATTTGTTCACCCCCTCATCATTTATTCAAAACAAAATGAATATCGGGTCATATGACCACTGACTTCGCTGCAGGTTTTACCACACAGCTCTGACCTATAAGTCTGCTCTGTGACCCCTTTTCGCCCACCTTGAGAATTCTGTCATGGACAATGTAGAGTAAAAGCTGGCCATAGATGGATTGAATCTCCGTGAGTTCAGCGGATACCAGACAAGATTCGACATCTATGGGCAGGTTGGTTGTACCCAAGTCAGTTCATCAACCGACTTGGGTACAGCCAGCCTGGATTTTTTTACATGTGATAAGTGCTGGCGGCTATAGCCGCTACAAGTAATCGTTGTGTTCTGCCGGCCGGGAAGGCTGCCACCGACAGAAAACAATAGAGCTGTGGGAGGGATTCCCCTATCAACACAGTCCTTGTTGATGGGGTAATTGAGCAATTTTGTTTTGTGGAAGGAAAGAAAAAAGCGTAATCTATAGGCTGCCTCAAAGAGATATAGGGCTTCCCCCAAATTTACTTACCTAGCTGGATGCAGCATCTGTCCCCTGCCAGCTCTAAGGGTGAGAACTCAGTGGTCACATGACTGCTGATCACTGAGTTCTCTTCTCCGCGCTGAGCAGGGAGCAGTGACTGTCAGTCACCGCTGTCTTCTCTGCCTCCTCTGCACTGGGCTGTGGAGGGGGAGGAAGCCGCTGGCTCAGGTTCTCAGCGGCTTGCTGAGACGTTCAGCCAGGTGCTGCTCCAGAGAACCAGCAAACACAAATGCTCCTGCGCTTGGGGATGGACTCGATGCTACAACCACATTAAGAATGTCCTGGAACATGCACACCTTGCTGCCCTCAATAGATCGGGGGAATCCAAATATACTGAACGAGGAAAGAACAAACTGAGGGCGCACAGGCCTAGTGCATCACCATAAAAATGTTTAATAAGAATTAAAGTAGGTGTTGTACAGGGCTCTGAGGAAGAGGCAAGGCCTCGAAACGCGTCAGCCTATTGGATGCCTACGGATTGCGGACTGTTACGCTCAGCCGGTATTGGGGCTGAGGAAGAGGCAAGTCCTCGAAACGCAGTCAGCCTATTGGATGCCTGACTCCCTATTGCGGACTGTTACTCAGTGCGGTGTTGACCCAGCTGTTCTTTTATGATGTGCCTTGACTACATTGTCGTTTGTGAGTACAACACCTACATTATTTCTTATTAACCACAAGCCTACAGGGCACTTACACCCCTTCCTGCCCAGGCCAATTTCCAGCTTTCAGCGCTGTTGCAATTTGAATGACAATTGTGCAGTCATGCAACACTGTACCCATATACATTTTTTAGCATTTTTTTGAGACAGACAGATCTGTATTTTGGTAGTATTTAATCACCTCGGGGTTTTTTATTTTTTCTTAAACCAAAAACCACAGAAAATTGTGAAAAAAAAGTTTTTTCTTAGTTTTTGTTATAAAATTTTGTAAATAAGTGATTTTTTCTCCACTGATGTGCGCTAATGAGGCTGCAGTGATGGGCGCTGATAGGCTGCACTGATGAGCACTGACGAGGAGGCACTGGTAGGTGCCACTGATGGGCATTGACAGGCATCACTGATGGGCACTGAAAGGCAGCACTGTTAGGCGGCACTGACACTGTTGCGGCACAGTTAGGCACTGTTAGGCGGCACTGACTGGCACTGTTAGGCGGCACTGACTGGCACTGATGGGTGACACTGATTGGCACTAATGGGTGACACTGAAAGGCAGTTCAGATGGTCACTGATATGTGGCATTGATGTGGCACTGATGGGCACTGGCACGTGGCACTGATGGACACTGACAGGTGGCACTGCTGGGGCTACACTGATCATCAGTGCTCTGATGATCAGTGTACATGTCCCCTCCGCGGAATGCCGATTACCGGCTCTCCTCTCCTCTCGAGCTGTCAGCGTGACAGCTCGAGAGGAGAGAAATGCTGATAACCGGCATTTCCCTGTTTACATGTGATCAGCTGTGATTGGACACAGCTGATCACATGACCGAGTCGACATCTTCGGTTCTTTCAGTGGATCGGTGATCCGCTGTGTTCGAGGGACACAGCGCACCGCCGATCGCCGCGCTTCGGGAGCCGCGCGCATGCGCAGTTAGAATGGGAGGACGTCATATGACGTCCTCCCAGAACGAGAGAACCACCTTGCATCCGTCATATTACTATACGGTGGGCGGGAGGTGGTTAAACATTTTTTTATGGTAATGCACTAGGCCTGTGCGCCCTCTGTTTGTTCTTTCATCATTCAGGTGCTGCTCCAGACACTGGGGTGGATCCCTACTTTAAAGTCGAGATCTTTTCCCAGACTGGGCCAGCTGAGTGACATCAGCCAACAGCGGACTTCAGTTCACTGTCAGCTGAAAATGGGTCACAGGAGTGCAGAACGAACTGCACTCCTGTGATCCACAGGAGAACTGCAGTCAAAGGAGCGTTGGCTGTATTTCTCCTTTAAGTTGATACCTTGTGTTTGGTGATTGAGGAGAATACAAATCTAAAAAGCTTGAAACTTTAAAACTGGCAAATGCAAAAAATTTCACTCCATTTAAACCACTTTTGGGAATCAAGAATTGCCATAAACAGAGATGCACCACCAATGAGTTCAGTTGACCCACCAGTTCCCATCACTACATGACACAGCAGTAATGTAGGGGTCAACTAGAGGAGATCACAGGAGATCAACTCTTCTGGAAGTGTCTGTTTTAGAAGAGACTTTCTGGGACTATTCCTCCATCAGATGGGGGCCGTCTGCTGCGTGGGCACCTGAACAGGTAAGTGTTTACTTCTTTGCAGGAAGTCAGTTTGCTGCCATTCCTGTTATCCAGGAAAGGGTGGGAACAAGGCACTGGTCATCAATTTCTGGTCAATGGAAAGGAGCATTATTTGAGCTGAGGGTTCGGCAGCTCATCACAGAGCCAAAAGGCCTGTCAAAGATAGGGGTCACCCAGATTGAGAAATCTATGAATAATAGAACAAATAAAGAGCACAAAAAGAACATATTTGGAGTCCAAGACGTTCTAATAATTCCAGAAGAAAACAATGGGCAGCCAAAAGCCCCGATGAAGAGGGTTTTTTTGCCCCACTGAAACATTTTGGCTTCCTATTACTTTCTTGTGGAATTACAGGAGAATTCTAGCCAAAGCTATTTTGTCTGTACTTCTCCTGGGGATCCCAGGAGTGCAGTTCGTTTTGCACTCCAGTAACCCGTTTTCAGTCAACAGCAGGTGAAAGACTGCTGTCAGCTGACGTCACAAAGCCCATCTAGGCTCAGGGTAGAGCCTGATTTTAAAGTCGGGATCCACCCAGATGTATGGACTGGCAGCTGGCTCAGCCTCTCAGTGAGTTTGCGAGAACCTGAGCCACTCCCACTCCCTCCACAGCTCAGTGCTCCAGTGAGCGCTGGAGGGGCAGATCAGAGAGCTGGTGGTGGAGGTCCTGGGTGTTTTTACACTCCCCAACCACTGGTGTAACATCATGGGTCGCAATGGCGACCCCACCCTATGTTCCAGGGGTCCGTGTGGTCTCCCTGTCACATTCTGTTTTACACCTGGACAGGAGGGCAGCATATACAGGAACCGATCTACTCCATTATCCTCCTGCAACTCCTGAATTCCAGCTTCTCCCCCTCTCTCTCCCCCCGGCATTCAGCAGCTGTGGGAAAAAATGTTCATTATGCTATTGAAAATTAAAAAAATGCAAATTTCTGAACCATTTCATTTTATTGTGGCACATGACCGGTTACCAAATCACTTCAGTGTCTTGGTCTTGAAAGGGTTGAACGATCCTGTCCTACAAGATCTCCCCAGTCTCCAACCACAATTGTATCTTGTATGCAGTTGTTTTAATATCTACTTTAGCATGCCCTTGTGCTCTGATCTTCTACTGTAGTATTTCCACTGTCTGTTTTCTGTAATATTACATAACACTGGATTTTATGTGCAGCCCATTGGTGATGTCAGGGACCCCACTTGAACCTTCCTATATTAAAGTGTTACTAAACCCACAACAGTACAATCAGTCTGTATATGCAGTAAAGCATGCTTGTTATACTCACTGTGGAACCTACGGGGTTAATCCTCTTTGCTCCTCCTCTTGTGAAAATGTCCACGTCTTATCTCCTGATAAGACAGACTGAACTGTAGCCAATTCTCCACATGCTCAGTTTAGTATGTATTGCTAGAGATGTTTTTTTTTTTTTTTCTTGGGAGAGAGGGCCAATCAGCACTATCCAGACAGAGGTCAGAGGTTCTGCATCTTCCTAGAGCAGAAAGAAAACTCCTTGTACAAGCTTGAAACAGTGCTGTGCTGAAGTCACAAGAATGCTCTTACTGCTGATGAGAAAAGGTATTTAGCAGTTTATATTTACTAAAATAATTGCATTTACATGTTGTGTGTACTGTGGGAAACCAGATATAGTGAGTGCAGGGTCCGGGGAGACCAGATATAGTTAATGCGGGGTCCGGGGAGACCGGATATAGTGAATGCAGGGTCCGGGGGAGACCGGATATAGTGAATGCGGGGTCCGGGGGAGACCGGATATAGTGAATGCGGGGTCCGGGGAGACCGGATATAGTGAATGCGGGGTCCGGGGAGACCGGATATAGTGAATGCGGGGTCCGGGGAGACCGGATATAGTGAATGCGGGGTCCGGGGAGACCGGATATAGTGAATGCGGGGTCCGGGGAGACCGGATATAGTGAATGCGGGGTCCGGGGAGACCGGATATAGTGAATGCGGGGTCCGGGGAGACCGGATATAGTGAATGCGGGGTCCGGGGAGACCGGATATAGTGAATGCGGGGTCCGGGGAGACCGGATATAGTGAATGCGGGGTCCTGGGGGAGACCGGATATAGTGAATGCGGGGTCCGGGGAGACCGGATATAGTGAATGCGGGGTCCGGGGAGACCGGATATAGTGAATGCGGGGTCCGGGGAGACCGGATATAGTGAATGCGGGGTCCGGGGAGACCGGATATAGTGAATGCGGGGTCCGGGGAGACCGGATATAGTGAATGCCGGGTCCGGGGAGACCGGATATAATGAATGCAGGGTCTGGGGAGACCGGATATAATGAATGCAGGGTCTGGGGAGACTGGATATAATGAATGCAGGGTCCGGGGAGACTGGATATAATGAATGCAGGGTCCGGGGAGACTGGATATAATGAATGCAGGGTCCGGGGAGACTGGATATAATGAATGCAGGGTTCAAGGAGACTGGACATAATGAATGCAGGGTTCAAGGAGACTGGATATAATGAATGCAGGGTTCAAGGAGACCGGCTATAGTGGATGCAGGATCCGGGGAGACTCAAGGGATATAGTGAATGCAGGGTCCGGGGAGACTGGATATAGTGAATGCAGGGTCCAGGGAGACTGGATATAGTGAATGCAGGGTCCAGGGAGACTGGATATAGTGAATGCAGGGTCCAGGGAGACTGGATATAGTGAATGCAGGGTCCAGGGAGACTGGATATAGTGAATGCAGGGTCCTGGGTTTAGTAACACTTTAAGTAAGTGACCACAAATGAATTAGAACATTTGTGAGGATTTTTTTGGTGTGTCTGTATCAGACAAAGATTCCCTTCACCGCACAGATAATGTGTTTTAGACAGAATTAAAGAAGATTATAACCCTTGCCAACGCTCTCCAAAACTAGAAAAAAAAAATTTGGCAGGATTTAGGCTTCAGGACTTGTCCACACCAGCCCCATTGGGCTGCATTGGGTAGCTTTGCTCAATGTAGTTTCGGTGCAAAGACCAGACAATACACCTGTGTACAACACACATGGCACTCACTTGCTGGTGTAAGCAGACCCCTAGTTGTAAAGCCACATATTGTATAGGGGAAACAATTTCTATTCAACGGTTATGTTTAATAGCTCCATATTTAATACTGATCACACAGTGGTGGAGGTAATGCCCCAAGCGTACAGCCCTAATCAGATTGCAGGCCACGTATTTGCGGGAACGGTGCCCCCACACTTTCCTTCAGACCCCCGCCTTGTCCTCCTAGGAATTCATGCAATCAAAAGTCAAGTACAGATGGGAATTTTCTCACTGTACAGATGGTGCGATGGTGACAGCCGAGTATATGACCTGAATCAATTAAGCCATTTCCCCCTAGTATAGACAGTCTAGGAATCTAAGGTAATCCAATATAAAGCAGGGAAAGGCCTTGAAGTCTGCCAGTAAAACAGAAGTGCTGAGTGACAGGCAGATTCGTGTGACGTTCTTCACATTCCCACTGCTCTATTCACACCCCTCAGCCACAGCTGAGCCACACACTCCATATGGGTCGCCTGTTTGTGTTTTAATTCTCATAATTAACAGACAATTTTTACCAATCGAGAGTGACGTTGCCTTTTGTCCCTGTGAATTTCTGAAGGTCATAGTCCTATAAATGTTCTGCAAATATACAGGGTCAGCATATGGAATGTGTACAGGTCAAGAAGGTTGAATTGTCACCTTTCCTTTTCCCTTGATGTTTTCTAGTGTTGAGGCGGATGAATTTATTGGATTAAACAGTAAAGTTGAGGGAACATACAGTAAACAGCAGCAGTCTCTCAGAAAAAAAAAATCTGTCATTGATCTGACATCAAATTTAGTACAATTCAAACTAGTGGTGCACCGAAATTAAAATTCTGGACCGAAACCAAAAATTCAGGATGCACTTGGCCGAAACTGAAACCGAAATGAACATTACAAAAAAAAAAAAAAAAAATATATATATATATATATATAAAATGGTATTCTATTCGACTTTTCAATTAATATCATGAATTTGAATGAATATGAATTCAAAAAATACAATCCAGTAACGTAGAATAACTTTTATTGAAAGTAAGACCCCCATGTACACGGGACACATCTGAACGATGGAAACTGACTGCTGGAAAACGTAGGTTAAAAAGTCTGTTTAGCTGAGTTTGCATGCCGTGTTTATGCGAGTTTACGAGCATTTGCGTGTAGAAGCGTTTTTTAAAGATAACCTCAGAAGACCTTTCAAAATGCTCAGAATGCACTGAAAAACAGTCATTTCAGACATTTTGAGAGAAATAGAGAGAGCAGAAGCAGAGAGCGCAGTATTTGTTGAGATTAGCTGTCTTTTTTTTTTTTGGTGTTTGGATGTGTTCCAGCTCATTTCTGTGCAGAAATTATTGCTGCAGTGTCTAACATATTTTCTTTCATGCAAAACCTCAAAGTCTGGTGTACCGGGTCCATTTGAGTACCGGGAAAATGCTTTGCATGCCTTTTTCATGATGAAAAAAGGCTCTGGACAGCATCTGGAAATGGAAGAGTTAAAACATTTTTCCAAACGCTTATAAACGCGGTTAGCCGCGTTTACAAGCGTTTGAAATGCTGATAAAATCTACTCTTGAACGCAAGTTTAGTGCGTTCAAAAAAAAACGACTGTAAACTCAACTGCCTGTAAATGACGATGTGTACATGGACACAGGAAAACATTAGGGAGAGTTCAGGGGCTGCTGAAAAAAAAAAAAAATGCAGAAAAGCTCCTAAACGTGAGTTTATCAGCTGCAGTGTACATGGAGCCTCGCACACAAAAATTGGACAGACAATAAAATGAAATACATATAAAATTAAAAAGCTTAAATAGAGGAGTTTTTGCATTGAAGTCCATAGGGGACTTTTTTGCATTGAAGCCAATAGGACGTGATTTTGCATTGGAGTTAATATGGGGATTTTTGCATTGGAGTTAATATGGGGATTTTTGCATTGAAGTCAATAGGGGGCTTTTTGTATTGATGACAATAGGACGCGATTGTGCATTGAAGTCAATTATTGTTATTGCCACTTTTTTTTTTATTCAGCAGAACGCCAATAACCCTATTTTTGGCCGATAATTTCCTTTTACAAAGGGTTTTATTGTAGATGAAGCAAAAATAAACCAACATATGCGTCACAGAACTAATGACCATCAAACATACAATGTACTGAAGAAACGGGAGTCTGTTCAAGTCATGCATAGGTAGAGGCATAAATCGAAAGATTTACATAAATGTTTCATATTTCTAGATATTGATGCAAATGCAACACATGAAACAGTAAATTCAATCCAGAAAGTATGATTAAGGATAGTTTGGACAATAGGTTAGAAAGAGACAAACAGTAGAGAGACACGGACGAGGAGAGGAAGAAAAAAAAAAACAAAAAAAACACACAACACAAACCCAAGAAGGGCTCCGAGGCAATCACGGCAATATCCATCCTCATATCGAAAGAAGAGACTGGTTTGGCTGATAATTTTCAGCGGTTGTTATATCAGTGCATCACTGATTACAATGGAACATGGGGTCACCACCTTTATCAAGGCAATCAGTAGATCTGGAGATATAGGCCGCAGTTATGCAAATATAGACTTTCCTGTAAAAGTCATTCTTGACCCGGCCCCAGCCTGCGCCTCCCTGTTGTGACTTTAACATGATAAATGTCCTCACAACTTGGAAGTGTTGGAAGGGAGGGGGACTTCAAGCAGAAGGTAAAATTAATCAGTTCTGTTATCCAAGAGAATTTGTAGCTTTGCTTATAGTTATGTGCCAAAAAGCTGGATTCTTCTGTCTGCTGCTGGCAGAAAGATCCAGCATAGATAGGAGAATTTTAATACCCCCCCCATGCATGAAGCTTAAAGAAAAATTCCCGGTATGGATATATTATACATAGGTATATTGGTCCAGCTTGTACAGTATATAGCATACTTTGGCAGTGCCCCCCGAGGCTGTAAATCACTGAAGTAGACACAACTACTACAGTGATCTCCATTTGCATCTGGGTCCCATGCTGAATGGCTGGCCTCATGCATTTTGATCAGAGGGAGTCGGCTATTCAGCACAGGCACCATTCAGAGAATGCTTTGCATTTTCTGAATAAATGGAAAGTGTCCTCTGATTGGACGAGGTGGAGAGGCAGGGCGGTGACATCACACGGTTTTCCTCGTCCAGTCAGAGAATGCTTTGCATTCATTCAGGTAATTCACAGCATTCTTTGAATGGCTCC